AACCAGTATAAAACAACGTTGGCTAATCTGTGATATTTAACCAGTATAAAACAACGTTGAGTAATCTGTGATATTTAACCAGTATAAAACAACATTGTGTAAAGTGTGATATTTAACCTGTATAAAACAACACTGAGTAATCTGTGATATTTAACCAGTATAAAACAACGTTGAGTAATCTGTGATATTTAACCAATATAAAACAACACTGAGTAATCTGTGATAATTAACCTGTATAAAACAACATTGGCTAATCTGTGATATTTAACCAGTATAAAACAACGTTGAGTAATCTGTGATATTTAACCAGTATAAAACAACGTTGGGTAATCTGTGATATTTAACCAGTATAAAAAAACATTGGGTAATCTGTGATATTTAGCCAGTATAAAACAACATTGGCTAATCTGTGATATTTAACCAGTATAAAACAACGTTGAGTAATCTGTGATATTTAACCAGTATAAAACAACGTTGGTAATCTGTGATAGTTAACCAGTATAAAACAACGTTGAGTAATCTGTGATATTTAACCAGTATAAAACAACGTTGAGTAATCTGTGATATTTAACCAGTATAAAACAACGTTGGGTAATCTGTGATATTTAACCAGTATAAAACTTGCTGTTTGTATGTGACACATGGCATAAAACGCTGTATGGTAATATAAATATAAAACGTTGTTTGTTAAGCTTTGAAAATCGTGCACTGGTATAAGACGTTATCCGGATATCTGTGGCAATCACGTAACGGTAAATAGCGTAGTATATTAATTTGTGATTATAATATAATGGAACAACGTCAATGTCATGTTTTGTATAGATATTTTACTTCTGAAATGTCCACATACCCTCACATTACAGTTGTGAAATGTCTTCATTTCTGGAACTTACACATTACAAAGGTAAGAATAAATTAAATTAACGTGGAAAACCGTGGAGCTTTAAACTGGAAAAATTGGAGAATATTTGGTATTCGAGAGCTCTCAATATACCTTATTACCCTACACTCTGTTAGGTCACTTCACTCTTATTTATTCCCCTCAGTAAACGGAATGGGTTCAGTCTGTACGATCAGCTCGTGTAACGAAGTGAGCGAGCGGTTGAACGTGACCCGGCTATTATGCAAAATAACTTAACTGCCAGTGGTATTTGCATGGTTGGTATATTTATATATATATATATAGCCAGTGTATCGAGCTCTGAATTAATATCCCACAGTTCAAATAACATGTAACTCCTTGTTCAGTATTTTTACTTTTCATTAAAATCTTTCTCTAAATTAAATTTAAATTAACAGCCAAACTCTGATTGGATCGACATACTGAGAGAGTTAACTAATAGTAATACAGTAACACTACTCTAAAAAAAAAAAAACGTTGTGATACGTACCTTTCTGCATCTGTGCCACCGTGACCCTCAACAAACAGACGAACAAAGTGACAAGATATGGGACATTGACCAGCATGTTTCTTTCGTCAACACAACACGGGTTATTGTAGTTTAATATAAAAACAAACTTCAAGGTTTATCGTCGGTTGTGGAGTAACGTTACAACTTACACAACATATTGTAGACTTAACGTTGAAGCGCAAGGCCAAGTTACGCCCATTAAACGCGGTGTAACAAAAGTCCGTAGGTACAGGCAGAGATGAAAGATGAAAATTTTATATTATTGTATTAAGCACTTCTTATCTTTGTTTTCAGAACATTCTCGAGATATACACGTACTCGCATCTATCGTTTTTCAACTGTTACCTTTACAGCCGAGTCATGTGATTTGAATGTTCACGTGGCGTCTCGCTCTCCTCGTTATGCTAGGGGTTGGAGAGTATAGCAATATGAAACTGACCGGTTTTTGTTTTGTTCGTGTTTTCAAGAGCGCGAAAACCAACAACAACTAAAATAAAAAGGGAAATTTGATGACGAGGAAAATATTTACAGCATTTATCAACTAGTGAAGGAGTTGTACCGTGTGCGTGTTATATATTTAGACAATTAATTTAGAAAAATGCATACAAAGATACGGGAGCTAATTTATCATAAGTTCTTACACTTTTTTTTTTATACAGAGGTTGAGTATTTAGGGGTCTCACCGTGTCATTACAGTACATATCGACACATCCGGCCATACTCTATCTGACTACCGTGCATCTTGATAATAGTCCTGCAACGTATTTTCCATTGCAAAAGGCTACGTTGTAATAGTGCAATGTTCAAAACACGCCACTGTTTCCTACATCTTTCTACAAAATATCTAGTATACGAACGAGGACGACGGTTTCCCAAAGTCTCTTTCAACAATCACATTGCACAGGAATCCATGGGCGCTGGGTCCAAATACTTGATCGGCATGTCTTCGTTTGGAATAGAATAAATATCTGTATTATTTCATGGGTGATTTCATATATCGTATGAGAGCAAAGCAACTTGTGTACACGTGACTTGTGTCAGATGGAGGTCCTTCTTAATTATGTTGCGCATTATTGCCAAGGTCACGTGCAAAGCTTTTGCCACTGATCTTTGTGTTCGTGGCTTCTCATCTATTACAAGACACCACATTTTGCTTACAACGGCTGGAGTACGACTTACTGCAAGTCTATTTTTGTATGGTCCTACAACCCCACGTTGATCCACATTCTTCCGTTTAGCAACATACCGTCTTGGAAATTCAAAATTTCTTATTGGAACAGAGACTTGTGATCTGAATGTACGAATATTTTGCGAGGAAAGGGCCGGCTATTACGTACTCTTCCCCCAAACGGTCAGTTTTGGGTAGTATCACACTAACCACAAAACACCAAACGATATCAAAATGTAGTTCTGATACATTTCGTTCCACCGCGACTTTATATTGGTTGTAGTTATCAGGTTGTGGTTATCGTCACTCTAATTGATATATATATATATACTTGACAAATTCCTTCTTTATTTTGGAGACAAAACTCAATATATTAAAGGTAATCCTTCATTACAACATGGACATAATTGTTTAAGTTAAAATAACTAATAAACTAGCTATTTTTAGGCATATCAAAAATCTTCTTGAACTCTATTTGATTAAAACAAAAGCAGACCACGATATTTCTCATTCACACCTTTTATTTTCCAAATTTTATAAAAAAAAGGGGAACAAAAAGTAAAAATTGGGAAATTTCTATCGATTTTATGAGACAATTTCTTCCAGTTTTTTTTTATTATTATCAATTATACATTATATAAATACAAAATTTGGTCAAGTTACTAGAAATTCCGTTGTATATGTGAAAATGGCCTATGAGACGGGCCAAGTCTTTTATTGTTAGAACTAGTTCAGGCTGATCTGATATCGTTAGAGTTAGTAATTGATATGTATAAGTCCAGACTGATCTGATATTGTTAGAACTAGTAATTGACATGTATAAGTCCAGACTGACCTGATATTGTTAGAGCTAGTAACTGATATGTATAAGTCCAGACTGATCTGATACTGTTAGAGTTACTAACTGATATGTATAAGTCCAGGCTGATCTGATATCGTTAGAGTTAGTAATTGATATGTATAAGTCCAGACTGATCTGATATTGTTAGAGCTAGTAATTGATATGTATAAGTCCAGGCTGATCTGATATTGTTAGAGTTAGTAATTGATATGTACAAGTCCAGGCTGATCTGATATCGTTAGAGTTAGTAATTAACATGTATAAGTCCAGGCTGATCTGATATCGTTAGAGTTAGTAATTGACATGTATAAGTCCAGACTGATCTGATATTGTTGGAGTTAGTAATTGATATGTATAAGTCCAGACTGATCTGATATTGTTAGAGTTAGTAATTGACATGTATAAGTCCAGACTGATCTGATATCGTTAGAGTTAGTAATTGATATGTATAAGTCCAGACTAATGTGATGTTGTTAGAGTTAGTAATTGATATGCATAAGTCCAGGCTGATCTGATATATTAGAGTTAGTAATTGATATGCATAAGTCCAGGCTGATCTGATATATTAGAGTTAGTAATTGATATGTAAACTGGTTGTATTATTTTACTAATACACATACACTACTTGTTGTTACACTGATTGTATTATTATACTAATACACATACACTACTTGTTGTTACACTGATTGTATTATTACACTAATACACATACACTACTTGTTCTTACAGTGGTTGTATTATTACACTAATACACATACACTACTTGTTCTTACACTGGTTGTATTATTACATTAATACACATACACTACTTGTTGTTACACTGATTGTATTATTACACTAATACACATACACTACTTGTATTATTATACTAATACACATACACTACTTGTCC